GTCTGAATCCTTTTTTTCTACACGGTAAATTAGGTCATTTTGTACTTCAAAATAGGGGAACGGTAGGGCTTCTCCTGGCTGATTAGCAACCCCATTTACAACTTTAATATCATTTCTAGCTGTCACTAAAGTGGGATCTTCCCACTGAGCACTTTTAAAATTACCTGGACTGATTCCAATATCAATTAAGTCCTTATCTTTGTCTGCAGTATTAGTAGGCTCCTCACTAGTTTGAGCTGGGTTGTCTCCTATTAATACTGGTTTAGGGCAGTACTTTCTCCTTTTTCTTATTTTTCCATCACAATGGTCAAAACCCAAGTCAATATCGGAAAAAGGGAACACATTATCCTCGGCCGATTGACTAATTTCTGATAAAGTTTGGTCCCTCTTTTGTACAGCTGCCCATAATTCTAGAAAGTGAGGAAAGTCTCTACCGATCACTACCTCATGGGCTAATCTAGGTACTACACCCACTCGGTACTTTAAATCCCCATACTGGGTTCCAATATTTACTTCTGCAGTGGGGTATTCCTTTTTATCACCATGAACACAGATAATGCCTATTTTCTGTACATGATCAGGTTTTACACAAGGTATTACAGACTCTGCTACCAACGTAACCATACTACCCGAATCAAGTAATGCTTTAGACATTTTACCATTCACAGTTACACAGCATTTATAAGGGTTATTATCATAGTCATTGTTAACAGTACCATAACAGTTGAGCAAAAATGAACGTGCTCCCTCATCTTTGCCCATATTGCATTCCATAGGTTCATCCTTCAATGGACAGTCTTTGGCCATATGACCATCCTCTTTGCACTTGAAACATTTGACAGTAAAATCTGCCCACCAATTAGTTCCTCTCCCAGGCCTATTAAACCTGGATGCCCCCCTGGTGTTTTGTGTATAGAGCTGCAGCTCTTCAGCTCCCCTTAAACCTTGAACAGTCTTACCAGGTCTTGCAGAATCTTGGGGCTTAGGATTGCGAGGGTTTGCCTGTGAAGTAGGACATAGCAGTTCTCCTGCAGCCACATATCTTTCCACCAAGGCAATCAGTTGGTCAGCTGTATGGGGGTCACTTTGGCTGACCCAGCGACGCAGGGAAGCTGGTAAACCATGCAAAAACCGGTCCATTACTAAGGTTTCCACAATGTGGCTAGCTGAATGGATTTCAGGTTGTAACCATTTCCGTGCAAGGTGTATGAGGTCAAACATTTGGGAACGTGCGGCTTTGTCTGAAGAATATGACCATGAGTGGAACCTTTGGGCACGTACTGCAGAGGTTACACCCAGTCGTGCCAAGATTTCAGCTTTCAATTTGCTGTAGATACTTGCATCGGCTGGTTCTAGGTCATAATATGCCTTCTGCGGCTCTCCACTTAGGAACGGTGCCAGTATGCTTGCCCACTCACCAGCCGGCCATCCCTACCTCTCAGCAGTGCGCTCAAATGCCAGAAGGTACGCCTCAACATCATCTGATGCGGTCATTTTCTGAAGATAGTGGCTCGCCCGAATCACCTTTGGCCCCTGGTATCTTCCATCAGGGTCTCCATTCAGTTTTTCAGAGATAGCTTGGGTTTCCTGTTGTAGTCCCTGGGTGACTTTTTGCTGCTCCTCACGGGCTACTTTAAACATCTCCGCTTGTGTCACAACAAGCTGTTTCACCAAGGACTCAGTGCACTCCATTTGTGTTTTGGCCAGGACTTTAGCACACTCTGCCTGGGCCAGCACCAGTTGCTGCAGGGCTGCACTGTTTTCTGCAGCTCTTCTGTTAGTCTCCTGTTGCACAGAGGTGGATTGGATCAGAGCCTTGATAACATCCTCCATGTTGAGCTTTAAATGACTTCTACCCTCAGGCTTACGTGGCTGCCCGCATTCTCCACCATATGTAACAAACCACCTCTTTTACAGGTAGGATTGTCACAGATCTTGCAGTAACCACAGCCTTCTAGGGTATACAAAGTCCAGGACACAGTCAGCTCAATTTTCCTTTTTATTCGGCAAGAAAACAGGTTCTTTAAATAATAACAAAACAAACAAAATCCCTTGCTCTTACTTGAGCTCTTACTAGACAGTAATTGCTATCTGCAATTGGGTGGCTTTCCCACTTACCAATTTTCCAAACAAAAGAAATGTCTTTGCAATAAACACAATTGTCATTCACTCTCCTAGCTGACTTTCTCTCCCTCACTCTGCAGCAGGCTGCCCTCTTCTTTTAAAGGCCTGTCTACCTATTGACTAGCTACAGGTGAGTGCCAATTAACTAACTCGTAAGTCAGATCCAAATAGTGGTCTGTTACACAGCAACTAATGCTGTTGGAGCATTGGCCCACCCTGCTCTCCAAATACTCCGCCCCAGGCACTGGCGGACCCAGGGGGGGGGGCAACGGGGCAATTGCCCCCCCCGAGAAATCCGCCGGTCTCCCTCTCCCTCCCCTGTCAGCCCTGCAATGTGCCTGCGGACCGGAGGGGAGATCAGAGATCTCCCTCCCCGGTCCGCAGGCACCGTGATGACAGCCGGCAGGGGAGGGAGATGGAGGACCCGGAGCTCAGTCTGCAGCTCCTCCGGGTCCTCCTCTCGTGAGATTTGGAGCGTTGCCGCGGTTACCAGGCAACGCTCCAAATCTCGCGAGAGTGAACTCTAGCCCGGGAACCACGGGCTAGAGTTCACTGTAACCACTGGGACCACCAGGGAATCACCACTGGGACCACCAGGGAATCACCACTGGGACCACCAGGGATGAAAATATGTCCCCCTCCTCCTCAATAAAGGTAAGAAGGGAGGGGGGACATAGAATATTTGGTTTTTATTAATTAAATAAAGATATATATTATTTAAAAAAGCCCCCCCTACCCTTAACACACACACACATAGCCCCCATACTGCCCCCCCATACACATGCTGCCCCCCATACACATACTGCCCCCCATACACATGCTGCCCCCCATACACACATACTGCCCCCATGTTGCCCCCCATACACATGCTGCCCCCACACACATACTGCCCCCCATGCTGCCCCCATACACACATACTGCCCCATGCTGCCACCCCATACACATGCTGCCCCCATACACACATGCTGCCCCCCCATACACACATGCTGCCCCCCCATACACACATGCTGCCCCCCCATACACACATACTGCCCCCATGCTGCCCCCATACACACATACTGCCCCCTATACACACACATTGCCCCCATGCACACATACTCACCCCTATGCACACATACTGCCCCCTATACACACACACTGCCCACCATACACACACACTGCCCACCATACACACACACTGTCCTCCATACACACACACTGCCCCCATACACTGCCGCCCCATACACACACATTGCCCACACTCACACACACACTGCAACTGTTACACACACATACTGTCCCACACATACACTGCATCCCTGACATACACTGCCCCCCCACTCACACACTACAACCTTCACACACACACACTGCTCACACACTGTCCCCCTCACACACATACACACTGCACCCCTTACACATTGCACCACTCACACACACCACTGCTCCTATGCCCTACTACCGCCCATTTCCCACCAGATCTCAGGTAAGTTGTCAAACTGTTCTTAAACGGTTTGACTACTTACTCTAGGAGGGGGTCCCGGCACTATTGACACCATAACCACTACACTGAGCTGTACTAGTTTTTGTGTCTGGATTATTTCTTTAAATAATCTACAAGTGCCCCTCCCGAGATCAGGCTCTGGATCCGCCACTGGCCCCAGGGACCCATACCAGGTTTTGCAGAGCATCAGCTATGCATATTGCAAACTTTAACCTCTCTCCCTGGGGCATTTAACTGAAAATCCTCTGGTTGCTGTTTAGCAAATCAGGTCTGATGTATCTCCCATCAACCACTATTCCACCTTTACGCTCACAATATGTATGTATGTATGTATGAGTAACATCATACTAAGTGTATTTTTTTATTAATGTATACATATATTAATATAAAAATACACTTAGAGTAAAATTGAAATTATATTTATATATCTGTGTATATATAAAGAAAAATACGAAATATACATATGTCCATATACATGATTACATAAATAATTTCATAAATATACACGTAGACTTCAAATATATAAATATGTATATATATTTAACTTTTACGTGCATATTTATGCAATGGTTTTTACATAATTAAAGGGACACTATAGTCACCAGAACAACTACAGCTTAATGTAGTTGTTCTGGTGAGTATAATAGCTCCCTTCAGGCATTTTCATGTAAACACTGCCTTTTCATGTAAACACCTCCAAGTGGCCAGTCCTTAGATGGCCACTGGAGAGGCTTCCTGGCTCAGGGCTGCACAGTAAGCAGCCCTACCATTCAGCGTCCCCACTCTCTGCATGGAGATGGTTAATTTTCTTCATAGAGATGCATTGACCCAATGCATCTCTATGAGGAGGTCCTGATTGGCGAAAATGGCATTTGGCCCACCCTGTGCCGATTTTAGCCAATCCAATGCTTTCCATATAGGAAAGCATTGGATTTGCTAAAAATCAGCCATTTTGATTATATCCCAAAGGGGGCGGAGTCAGGACCAGCTGACCCACGTGGCGCTGAAAATAAGGAGTTTTATACTTTTTTAGGGGGCTGAGGAGGGGGCAAGCCACCTAAATGGTGGGTTAAACACTATAGGGTCAGGAATACATGTTTGTGTTCCTGACCCTATAGTGATCCTTTAAGTAATTTCATGGATTGCAATTTGGGGGACCTGCCTGACAACCCAGGCCGAAATTCCAGAGAATTTAATTTGCTAGCACTATTTTTTACACTGTAACATTCCAAGACACCCTAAAACCTGTACGTGGTGGGTACTGTTTTACGTGGGAGACTTCGCTGAACACAAATTAGTGTTTCAAAACAGTAAAACATATCACAGCGATGATATTGTCAGTAAAAGTGAAATTTTTTGCTTTTTTTCCCACACAAATGACACTTTAACTGATGATCTCATTGTTGTGATACATTTTACAGTTTTGAAACACTAATATTTGTGTTCAGCGAAGTCTCCTGAGTATAACAGTACCCCCAATGTACAGGTTTTAATGTGTTTTTAAAAGTTACATGTTTAAATATAAGGCTTGATTTTCCATTTTTTCACATTGAAATTTGCCAGATTGGTAATGTTGCCTTTGAGAGCGTATGGTAGCCCAGGAATGAGAATTACCCCCATGATAGCATACCATTTGCAAAAGACGACAACCCAAGGTATTGCAGTCTTTTTTTAGTAGCCACTTAGACTGGCCAAAGTTAGTGTTCATAATAGTTTTTTGCATTTTTAACATACAAATATAAATGCTAACTTTGGTGGCTACTAAAAAAGACTGGACATACCCCATATGGAATACCCTGGGTGGTCTACTTTATATGTACATGTGAGATGTGATTCAGAGTTTTATGACAGATAACATGGTTACAATGTCATTATTGATACATTTAAAAAATATATATATTTTGAAACAGCAACGTCCTACTTGTACTTATAGCTCTATAACTTTCCAAAAAAGCTAAGAACATGTTAACATTGGGTATTTCTAAATGCAGGACAAAATTTAGAAACTATTTAGCACTGGTGTGTGTCGGCGGTTGTAGATGCGTAATAGATTTAGGGGGTTAAAATTAGAAAAAGTGTTGTTTTTTTTAAATTTCATCATAGTTTATAATTCTTTTTATACTAAATTATGATATGATAAAAATAATGGTATCTTTAGAAAGACCATTTAATGGCGAGAGAAACGGTATATGATATGTGTGGGTACAGTAAATGAGTAAGAGGAAAATTACAGCTAAACACAAACACCGCAGAAATGTGAAAACAGCCTTGATCCCAAACGGTAAGAAAATTGAAAAGCAGTTTGATCACTAAGGGGTTAAATATTTGTCATGCTAATATTTTAATCATTTTTTCAGTCACAAAATTAATGGTAATAGCGTTAAAGATTAATGGGTGCACATTTTAGGCAAAATCAAGTTACGAGTTGCAGAACCGTTCCAGTTCAGTGATTCATTTTTATTTCCAGCTTATTTTGGTATTCATTTCAATTCAACTAAACTTTCTGATTAGAATTTTTCTAAAAAAAATATAAAATATTTTAAACATATGTGTTTTTGATCTTTGGAGTAGAGCACCATGAATTTAAGAATCTTTATCACTGATGCATTGTATGGTTCCGACATTTCAGTGTTTACTTAGCAGACCACCCAAGATTGTCTGTGCCTTTCTCTGTTCACCCAAGATTGTCTGTGCCTTTCTCTGTTCTTCTGAGAAAACTTGTCTTACACCAATTGAAATTCACGCGGAGTATTGCTATTTTCTTTTCAACCTGCCAGATTGTAAAAACATATCTCTTATAGTCAGAATGATAAGTTTTGTCTTCCTTCAGTCTGCCTCTTTTCAGCTTGGATTCACCGCGACTGCCCTCCCGTCTGAATGGATATACAATCTATATCCAAGTGACTACAATTTGCATAGCAACCACAGTCTACCCCAAATAAGATTCCATCAATAGACTTTTATCACTCAGTAATAATATCCTCTGGTCAACAAGGGTTTCATTGACGTACATTTAACTTTTTGACGGAGAATTCATATGCACCATAATTTTAGAAAAGACATTCAAAAAGCTCTGAGCATTCCTGACTGCATTCTATGTGCTCACAAAACACCACTTTGTATAAGAGTGGCAGAGGGCTGGTGGTTGGCATACCAAATGATTTATTTAAATCATCTGGGAAACATAAGCTCTAAACATAAGCTTTTTGTGGATGGAACTTGTTTGTTGCTCTTTTAACTTCATGACCAGGATTAGGAATGTATCACTTTATATCTTGTTGGTGCTGACAAGCCATGTATTACAATAGGGTATATGACCCTTCCTGTTCAAACTGCAGAATACATTTCTTTATAAATTGACTTTCAAGATAAATGGGTTAAATGTACCTTCTGGTTCCAATTGCAGGCTTCCTTGCTTATTACTTCTATCAAAGCACACTCCAATGAGAGAGAGATTTCCAAGACTCACCTAGTTTTTATTATCACAGTCATCAGCAGTTTATTGAAACTTTAACAACTAAATATGCAAATGTTTAGCCA